CGGGGGGCCCCAGAGCCGGTCTGGACGCAGAGGCTAAAGGAAAAAAATCCTCTGCCCCCGTCGGGGATCGAACCCCGGTCGTCTAACCCGTAGCTAGTCACTATACTGACTGAGCTATCCCGGCTCGGCAACCTAACCTAACCTATTTTTAAAGTGATGTGTCCCGATAACAAACAAGTACCCAAAATCAATAAGCCAGTCTACTAATCAGCAGCACAGCAATCAATAACAACATTTATTTAAAACATTGTGAGGAAATCATTTTGAGAAAGAATCTCTTCTAATACCACTGATATATTTTGTGTCATTAACAAAAGGTTGGGTATTTATTAATGATTTCTTTTACTAATGTAATCAAAAACATCTGAGCAAGTCTTTCTACGTCTAACAGGAGCAATTTCAAAATCAGAGCAATCATACCACAAGACTGGGGTGGGGGGTGGGGGTGTTGAGAGAGAGGAAAAACATACTCTCGTGCATAATTATCAGCTTTCGTAAGTTTGGAAGTAGGTTTATTTTCAGACAGCAACCTCATCCTTCTTAACAATGGATGCCGCTAATTATGGCCAAGTATTCTATATACTTTATCTCATCTTAGGAGCACATGATTAAAATTAATTACTTAGAACAAGCTCTTGCTTTTTTCCCCTTCCCCTCAAAGACAGTACTTTCTTCTTTCAAGTTTAGCGAGTAGTGTACTTGCTATTTGCCTTCGTAAATAATATAAAATCTTCACTAATTGGACTGAATGGGCAAAATGAACTTTTATTTAATGGCAAGTTACAAAGGCCATTTATTATAATAATGCTGGGATAAAAGTGGATGAGGGCTTAAGCACAGCCTTTGTGAGAGCCTGCATTTATATCTGTTCAAGTCCAATTACTGTACAAAATTGAACAGTTCCACACTCTACAGTTAAAAACACTCAATTATGACCATGTGCAGGGAAAACTTTTTACTTGTAGGAAAACTGGTGTAAAAAATTAGGAATGAAATTCAAGTAGGATACTCCCGGGGTGGAAAAACAGGAGTAGGATTACCAACAATAAAGTGAATATCGATTAAACAGAGCAAAACCAAGAAATCTGAGCAGATTACAATAATCGGAGCTGGGATTAAAGTTGTAAAATTATGTTATACAGACCAGATAATATTAAAAATTAATGGAATACATTATTAGTAAAATCTGAAGTTGCCCCGTCTCCAGGCATTATAAAGTGTGTAGGTAAAAGCTCCACATTCTTAACTTCAGCAACAGATCACGTTGAGTGGTGAGCTTCATACTCTTGCCACTGTGTCAATGCAGAAGAGCCCCTGGTAGCCATTAGACAGAAGGGTGAGCATGCCCCAAAGAACAATCCTTGTCTCACGGGAATCACACCCTAGTCCAGTCCAGTACTTTACAGATTGAACCTTCCTGGCTCCTCAGTAACAAGGAACACAAGTAGGGGATTCCTTGGGCTGGAGGATTCAAAGTGGAGGTACTGCTACCTGCACCTCCATTTTTAGTTTGAAAATGTAATTAGTTTCCAAAGCAACGCCAAAAGCTTCTTCTAATCACATGGCCTTAAAACCCAAAAACCTGTACCGAACAGATCCCTGTAAAAACCCAAAATCTCTTTTCAAACTCTGTTTACTTCTTCAGTTTCCGTCCATTTTGTCCTTCTCTGTGCGCACAAACAAGCGCTATATTTTAGTCTAATAAACAATCTTCCTTTGAAAAGCTAATAGGTGCTTAAGCAGTCAAGAAATTCCCTCATATCATGGCACATGCACGTTCATTACAGATTTAACAAACACCCTGGGTCCTTCGCATGCCAGTTAATTCCTGTCACCTCCTCTACATGCAACTTCCTTGAGAATCTATTTTAATATTATCCTTCCAAGTACAACTAGGTCTTCCTTCAAGACCTCCTGACCGAAATGTTGTAAGCAATTTATTTTCACCCTCTCAACCCTGACCACACTGTTCTCCGAAGGGTGTGAACACTCCGAAGCATACCAGACCGATTCTCTCGAACTCTGATAAAGGTCAGCAAATCCAACTGCATGGCTCATGGCAACCAGATTACCACCATTAAACCTGTCAGGCTGGTCCGGTCTGCTTCGGTGTGTTCGCGCCCTTGCACATTACGTACCGTGTCATTGCGTGGGGAAGGCAGTGGTGAGGCCGCTGCTTGAGGAAGATACGGACTGTGCTGCAGAGTTGCGGAATAGGGCGCGTACAGGGGCGGGTAAGCGGGGTGAGGATGCGGATGGGAATTTGAATAAGCATTTAGAGGCAGGGGTGCATAGCTGTTAGGGGCAGGCTGAGCTGGAGTTGCCACGGCTGGACTGTTGGTCCGGCTGTTGGTATTGGCGCTGTTGGTACTACTGTTCAGGCAGTGTTGCTGTGGCGCTGCTGTCGGTGGTGGCTGGACCTGTGGCTGTGGTTGCGGAGGAAGTGACAAAGGCAGTGGCAGAGGAACGAGGGGCGGAGGGGGGACTGGCGATGAAGACTGAACCAGTGATTGCGCGGATACAACGCGTGGTACTGGTCCGTTTGATACCACACTCGGTTGCGATGAGTGTGAAGGCGACGAGGGTGGGTTCGAGATGGCCGTGGGATTGTGTGGTTGAGGTGGCGGTGGTGGAGGAGTAGGGACGCGTGGGGGCGGAGGGCTGGGGGCAGGACTGGTCGCGCCACTGCCCCCACCAGGCGATCCCGTTCCGTTGTTGATAGGAGGAGGTGGGTTGCCCGGTAACTCGTCTGAAAAGGAAAAACACAAAAATTAACAAGTGGGATGTTTCTGCCGCGTGACTGGATTCACGATTCAAGGATCGGTCGAGGGTGAACGCGAGTTACTCATCCGTCCCCGACAACTTGTTGCCTAGACAGAGATCAGCAAGAAGTAAAGCGACAATGGGTTTATGATAGAGGCAGTGCAGAAGACGGGCTGGAAATGTGGCGGCTACGCACGTGTGTCTTAGGTTTGTGGTACATTTTCGAGGCACTACATCGACGCAATAGCAACGATTTCATCATCAGAAAAATCTCATTCTCCGTTATGAAGCAAAACTTACCAAACGTTAAGTCTTCGAAAGTTCGAAGCTAAGTTATTTAGAGCACTTGAAATTGATAACATCTTTAACATTTCTGATCCAGCCACTTGATCTGATTCCACCGACGACGACTGAAGATATGCAGCAATGACTCGTTCATTTCAGGAATTTACCTTGAATGCTGACGAAAAACTCGCAAGAAAATTACGTCAGAAGCCGAAGAACGGCAAGCAAGTACAAACTTTCTGGTTGATTTACTCCACGAACGTCGACGCTATGCCTTCCACTGCTGCCAACTTGTCACTCCTCCCCCGACATTGTTAATAGTAGTACACTTTCGAAACAGTGGGATCCCATGAGGTTAGCTCCATCCATACGAAGTGGCAGAGATAGAAATTCGACCAACACCACGACGACAAATACGGTCCCACATGAGCTTGTTCTATTACCTTTACACACACGCGAACTTCTGCTTCATGAATACATACAACAAGCCAGTTACAGACATATAAGTCATTGCCTGTACGTAGTCTAATCCAGACGTGAGTTCGCAACTTCCCAAGGCAACTTCTGAGTCAAATCATTTTGTACCCTGGGGCTTTGTTATTAATAAAATAACTTACATGTTCCTTCATCAGCGGATCAAACCGCCATTACTTAGTTCAATCTGTCCTAGAAAGCAAGTCTTTCTTGCCTCATTCTAAATTGTTTAAAATGTTAATAGGAAAATCAGGCCTATTTTATCATGTGTAAGTGTAAAAACTAAATTATAAACGGCTTTGTTTTGGTTCACTGAGGCTAGTATTTAAAATCTGACGAAGAGTTTCAAACAGTAGCCTACTTGTACAAAGCAAATTTTACGACCACGTGTTAGAGACTACATTTTAAGTGGTGAGAAGATTCAGGCTATACTTCTGAAACTATGCATACGACATCCCTCCCCGTGTAAACAAAATTGCACTTACTATCACACCTGAAGGCAGCGTGGTCAAAATGGCGGCCCGCGACCACTTGTAATCAGGCCAGCGAAAGTATTTGTTAATTTGTTACTACCAGTTAGTACAAACCCATTTCTTTTTTCGAAGTTGATATTCCGTCACTGGTAAAATAACATTCTGCTCAGTGCTCTCACTAAAGCCACTGACTTTAAAAGCGTAAGATGTACGTTCTGCTGGTAAAAATTGTTATTGTATCAGATACAAGTTATTAAAGTAGCGGAGTTCAAATAATTTGTGCAAGTTTTCCAGGTAAAAATTGTGATAGATGCAAGCTGTTGCAGGAGCAAATTTAAAATAATATGAAAATATATAAATTTGTGCACATTTAAATAAAATTTATATTTCAGCATTTGCAATGGTAATATGTCATTTCTGAATAAGTATTATTAAAGACAACGGCAATGTAAAAATAGTGACAGTAGGGGCTTCTTGGCCCTTGGGTCCAACAGGAAAACTATTCTGACCTGGGCGAGGAAAGAAGTTGGACCACCCTGCCTTAAGGTATCATAGTGACACGCATATCTGACTTACGTTTTCGAGTGGTAGTGAAGAGATCTGACCCCGCATCGGACCCCTGAAAGCAGAAAGAAAACCATCTAAAACCCTTCACTGAAGGCTACAATCACAAACAATTACTTCAAATTCTGCAATACGTCTTGTGTCACAGCAGGTAATCAAATTAATTTATACCAACACGTCTTCTGACAATATGGGCCTCTACTGTGATAGAACGAATATCCAGGAAATCCTGGACTCCATACAAATGTTTTCAGTAAGGCAATACAATGAGGGCGACTATCCACATAAATGAAACAAGTCAGGAAACTTATGCATAACGTAAACAACCTTGGCGCGTTCGCCACAATTTGACCTTTGCGAATGCCACAGGAGATGTCAGAGTTGCATTGGGTCAATAACATGGGACGGGTCTGGCTGGCTGGAGACGTAATCACTGAGGATTCTCCCACGTGGTTGGACAGCTGTACGTATCGATTACTGTTGTCCAATTTGAACCAAAATTGGAATGTGCTCACAAAATCCGTTCAGCCGTTCTGGAGTTGTGTCACGCGTAACGGAGCGACGGAGTGATTTCAGGATCTCCGTCTGATAAATATTTAGCGAGTTACGCTGGCGTACATTTCCATGTGGTGTCCGTTCTAGACGTTCTACTTTTGAAAGTGGCAAAACCCGTTTAGCGGTTCTCGGGGTGGTCTACATGAGGGCGGACATACACACAGACAAAACAAAGCTAACAGACAAACTCTTCCAACTTCGTTGCGAACGCGCTTAAAATGAGTGGCTGTGGTTCTGTCAGAAATCAGGGCTGCAGCCGGCAGTACTAAACGTGCAGTTCCGAATCGACAGAAACATACATTAAAATCCACTGGCATAGTCGGGCTTATCTTATGGAACAGGCCTGGAAACGATCAGAGGACTTGTTCGGCTACAATCCGGAAGGGAATTTTATCGCAAGAAAACAAATAAATAAATGGTTTAATTTCAATGGTTATATGCCAATCTAAAAACTCAGTCAGGTCGCAATCATAGAAGCGGTTACAGAACCGAGTGACGCCAGTTTAATAAAGATTGATCGATTCCACTGTCGGCGTGGTACATACACGCACCGCTAAGTTATGTGACAATCCGCCTAGACATTGGAAAAACAAAGCTAGAACGAGGAACAACAAAAGCGAAACCAGACGTTATAAACCATTGTGTATTACTGAGGCGTATCGTGATCTGATTACAGTTACCAAGCACCGACTCGAAAAATGCATCAATCAACTAAATGGCCGATGCTGCGATAATGTGCGGAAATGCACGTGGGAATTAAACTGTTCTGCATGTAACATGCGACAGGTTCAAAACGCAATCTGAACAGAAAGCAAAAGGAAAAATTTGATTTAGGCCTAAATGGCAAATGGGAGTGTAAGAAGAAGAAGCAAATAAAACTGCACCACCAAGCACAAAGGAAGGAGTCTGGTAGGAAGCCAGTATTTCCTTTCAGTCAGGCTTCTTTGCCTATTATCTTTACGGCGTGTACCATTTTTACGCAAACCATCAACAATCATGTACCACGGTACAAGAGTGAAATCAGAAGCAGGTCCACCTCCAAGTAACAGACTCCCAACCTCGCCCGTGACGGTCCCGTCAAGGTCATCCTGCTTATTAGGCCGCTGCTCACGCCAGTTACTCGACAGCCGTGAAATGCGAACATGCTGTATTCATGAGCAGAAAGCTTAAGATGGCTGTCTTCTGGGTTGTAGCGCCGTTAGCCTCGTAGAAGTGTACCAATGTTTCAGAGGTACAACCCAGAAGACAGCCATCTTCGGACTCGCCGCTGTGAAAACCTCAAATCCCACTTAGCAGAAAGCTTGTCCATTCTGGAACTCACTGTGCATGCTGCTGTTCGCGAAGCACTTGACAATGCGTGACCTGATAACGAAATGCCGAATAAGACAACAATACACCGACTGGTAACAAAATATAGGGACACCGGAAGGCGGTGGACACTGCTGAAAAGCTATTCTGTAAGTTCTTCCTCCCAAAAAAATTTGCTGGTGCTTAACAAAGCACGACGACATACAAACCCGTGAGGGAGTGGAGGAATAGATCCTGGAATTCTCAATCTCTGAACTAGATGGAACTGAATGGTTAGTTCACGCCCCTGAGGCTTTACCTCCGAAGAAAGAACACCCGTATTCATTAAATAGAAGGCTAGGTGGGCTCCAGAGCTGGTCTGGAAGTTGTGGCGAAGAAAAAATACATCTGCCACCGCCATCCTGTCCTGTACAGCCTACTTATACGAAGTAATTACTTTGCCTCTTTGCTCAAGTAGCATAACAAATATTAGGCAGCTCCTGAAACGAATATTGTGTATCAAAGCCAGCCGTCAAGTGCAACTATTACACAATGTATTATAATTAAAGTCAGCAGGATGGAGTGGTTGTTAATTGAGACTTAACGAGTCCCTACGAGCGTGCTGGGAGCCATAATAAAGACAGCCTACCTTTCTTCATCTTCTTAAAATTTGTACACTACCCACAACATCAGTCACTTAAGCAAGTTTTAATTATGATTCCAGCGAACAATTTCATTAAGCTTTACAAGAACTCATACTTCGGCTTGTGCACAAACAAACTTTCCTTGGAAGAAATAACACGCCAGACCGAAATTGAAACTTCAAGTGACTCTTTATGGGTTTAATCATTACTTAACGTATTATTAAACGAATCATTTGCTTCGTTTAATAACATTTCATAAAAATGTTATCTACTTTCGCCTCGATGACAGTGAAATCTGAACGAATAATAGTCAAAGACAAATCATAAATAGCACCTGCTGAAATAAAATCCATATGGCAGACAAAGAAATATAGCTACAATGCAATTTTGCAAACCAAATCTGGGTTTTTAAGAAAAATTAAATACAGCAGTAAATGTGCAAGTACAGAACTTGGCCAGGGAACAAAGGAAGTTTGGTCCCAATCCTCCAATCCTTACATAACCCATTAATTTAATGACACTTTTTACTTGAACTCTGAAGATAGTGGTAATATGTTCGTCAGACACACTGGTACAGAACCATAAGACGACAGATGCAACAACCCAGAAGACCACACTCTAAACTCGCCCTTCGTACTTCAAACCGAAGATGGAGGCAGTATGATACTCTAATATGTTGGTATACAACCACAAGACCAGAAGGCGCCACAACTCGTAAGACCACAACCTAAAAAATCCTGTTATTTCGGAACCCAAAGGTCCTTTATCGTGTTCACAAGAGTAATGAAAACTGGTTCTAAAAAAAGTTAAAGATCGTGTTAAGAGGAAACCTTTGTCGAACCAAACTGAATATAGCCCCAAACACCATCAACGAAATGGATGTATTTTGCAGTTCGATAGTATTATCACTAAACACAATTTCGAATGACTCAATGCAGACACAAAATGTTGCAAAAAAAAGTCTAAATGGGGCCAATATTATATTAAACTATCATCCGTGACGGTGGCAGAAGGGTGTTAATAAATACGCAAAACACGACAGCAAGAGGAATTATATGGAACAGACAAGTTAAATCATGAAATGCGTTGGACAGAGATTGCCACACATGGTAGCAGCTGCGAATATGGAAGGCAGACACATTTCGGCCAATTTATCATGTCCACACGACTTATTTGTGATTAATGACGTAGTCTGACTTTCCATCTCGTTCTACCTCCATCCTTCATATTACTATTATTATCATACCATCTTACAAGGCATCTGTCCATGAGTCTGGGCTAAACTTTGTCCGCGTTGCTCATCACATATTAGCTTCTGGAAAATATATTTAAAACTAAAGATGAGCTACGTTAATAATCTTCTCAAAGGCTGCGTTTCCAGAGCGGCCGTCGTATGTTCTAGCAACGTGATTCGGCACCGCATCGCAGAGTACAGTAAAACATCTCTAAGTTGGACACTTGGGGTTCCACGAAAAGGTGTCCAAGACAGAGGGAAAGG